GAAATGTTTTGTTTTATATTTTTTTCTCTTGGTGGTCTCTTCTAATTTCATGGATGTAAGTCCTGTACATTGAAGATTCTAAAACTTACATCTCCATCCTGGACTCAGATATCCAGTTAGCAATGATGTGTCACTTAGTGTCAGGTTGACATGGCAGACCACAGTGTTGTTATTTTAAGTTTGCCTTTCCAGTGGTGGGATTATATTTATTCTATTCTGATGAGGTCATGGTCAGCTATGCAACTTACTTTGGTCCACAACATGTGGATGCAACTGGCACGATGAATTTCTGAGACACGTGTCTTAGTCCCTTGTCAGTTGCAGGAACAGTGAGCAGAGATGAGTTTCTCATAAACAAAGAGACTACTTAGTTCAAAAGTCTGAAAGTTCAAGAGCATGGCACCAAGAGCTGGGTGTGTGGTGGTGCTTGCCGATATTCCCAATACCCAGGAGGCAGAGGTGGGAAGCTGGTTATGACTGACACATGTTCGAGACTAGCTTCATCTGCATAGCAAGTGCCAGGCCAGCAAGAGCTATAAGGTAGGCAGAAAGGAAGGGAGGTGAGGGGAACTCTGCAGGTTCAGGCAGGGAAGCAAACTTGAGAATGAAAACCCATTTCATACTGACACACGTCATCAACTTGGAACAGACTTCAGGAGTCTAATGCCAGGCGCCAGCATATTTAAAACACAGGTCAATTCGGGAAAAGGTTTCCAGGCAGCGATCATTCTGATTCCAGCTGCACAATAAGCTTAAGGTGTGACTACACAGAAACTCCTTTACAAAGTACATGTGTCCATGAGGGAGGGCTCTATAGCTATTAAGCCTAGCATCTAGTATGCTCTCTTTGAGATAGCATGAGTGTCAACAGACTATAAAGAACACGTCACATTTCCCCCAGAACCGGAAGAGGTCCACCGGAAGCAGTCCAAGAAGGGAAGGGTCTGGGAATTCGGGGAAGTCTGCCTCCACAGATAGCAGAAAGATCATCAGGTCATTAATAAGATCCATCCCCAGCCATCTTGTTAGTTAAACTGGTATTTCATCTCCTCCATTGAGAAGATGTGTGTTTAACAACCCTGGATTCCCCAGTGATCTGTGGGTGCGAGGACCTTTGCGCCCCCAACAGGAAGGAGTAGAAAAAATGCAAAAGGAAGAGAAGGGCAGCACCAGCATCTATCTCCTTATGTCTGGGGAAAGCCTCATAGCAGATAGTGTCACAATGTGGGAATATGTGAGAGCTACTATATAGAGAAGCAGGAAGAGAGATTTAAAGGCTAGGCATGTAGATAAAGATATATAGATATAGATATAGTTTGTTTCTCCAACCATTCTCTTGAGGACAAACAGGACTCCTGAAGAACTAAGTCAGCCTCTTCTGAGGATGATACCTCCCCAGTGACTCAATTAGACCCACCTCTTAAAGGTCCCATTGCTTTTCAACACTTCCTTTCTGAAGATCAAGCTTCTATCCTATGACTGTGGGATACTGAAACCATATACAAACTATAGCAATGCCTGCGTAGCCATCACCTGGTTCACTGTGCTCTTTCTTTTATAAAAATGCTGTCCTAGTTAGGGCTACTGTTGCTGTGATGACATACCATGAGCAAGGTAACTTGGGAAAGAAAGGGTTTATTTGGGTTACACTTCCACAGCACTGTTCATTATTGAAGGAAGTCAGGATGAGAACTCAAATAGGGCAGGGACCTAGAGGCAGCCGCTGATTCAGAGGCCATGGAGAAGGCTTGCTCCGCATGGCTTTCTCAAAGCTGTTTTCTTATAGAACCCAAGACCACCACCCGCAGTGGGATGGTGTATTCTTAATGAATCACTAAATAAGAAAATGCACTTCAGGCCTGCGTACAGACAGATCTTATGGAGTCATTTTCTCAATTGAGGTCCCTTCCTCTCCAGTGACTTTTGTTTGTGTCAAGATGATATAAAAGTAGCCAGAACAAATACCATTGTTTTATATAAATACCAGAAACAACTGGCCTGCTATGAATATAAATGTGTCAAGACATTTTGTTTGCTTGTTTGATTTCAAGACAGGGTTGCATTATATAACTCTGGCTGCTCTGGAACTCACTATGTAGACCAGGCTAGCCTCGAATGCACATAGATCCACCTGCCCCTGCTTCCCAAGTGCTGGTATTAAAAGCGTTTGCCACTAAGATCGGTGACATGAACCTTTTTTAAGACATTAGGAGTTTTAAACTCCTTACTATATCAGTTCAGATGATAGAGCATCTCAGTGTAGCATGCCCAGAACAGAATGCCTGATCTTCCCTATCTGCACGACGTGTTAGTCCCACAGAGTCCCCCATCTTGGTGAATGGCAGCTTCGGCCCTCCAGTTATGAGATTTAAAAATCCTTATAGTAGTCCTTGACTACTCTAGTGTAGTGGGGTTACTGCTGGTACATATATGAATGGGCACAAAACATCATTGCCATAGAGATGACATTCAATGGAGATGGTCTTAGTTAGGGTTTCTATTGCTGTGATGAAATGCATGACCAAAGAGTGAGTTGGGGAGGAAAGGGTTTATTTGGCTTACACTCCAGCAATGCTGTTCATCACCAAAGGAAGTCAGGACAGAAACTCAAATAGGGCAGGATCCTAGAGGCAGGAGCAGATGCAGAGTCCATGGAGGGGTATTGCTTACTGGCTTGCTTCCTGTGGCTTGCTCAACTCAGTTTCTTAGAGAACTCAGGACCATCAGCCAAGGGAAGGCACTATGCACCATGAGCTGGACCCTCCTCCATTAATCACTAAATGAGAAAATGCCTTACAGTTGGATCTCAGCGAGGCAGTGCTTCAACTGAAGTGCGTTCCTCTGATATCTCTAGCTTGTGTCACATTGACACATAAAACCAGCCAGTGCAGAGATGGAGCAGTAAGAATGAATGTACATACTAAAGCAAATGCATAAAAGTTAAATACATGTAACACATTACTAATTAATTTCAAATATGTGGAAATTGACGTGCAATAGAAAAATATAGAGCAAGATAAAGAGGAAGGAAGGGGTCAGGTGGAGGTTGCACGGTTAGTCGGCATTGACCTTATTCAGGAAGAAACACTTCAGTAAAGAACTAAGAACTAAAACTCTTTTGCCCTATAACCACTGTGTGTAAGCCTCTATCCCAGGAAATCCCCAAGAATGCAGGCAGGGCTCTAAATGCCTAATTCAAAATCTCAGACTCTGGTGTTTTGTTGCAACCAAGCCCTGATATGAGACTCCTGATCTTTACTTCTTTCAGCATTTACTACAAAGGACTTCTTTGTGAATGTGCATCTCTCATAACTCAGAAGTGTTTCTCTGACAGCCCCGGACCTAAGTCTTGCTTTTGTTCATCAGACAGTTGTAAAATTTCTACTTATACCTTTACACTCTGATAGCACCAGGAGTGAAGAATGAAGTCCCTGCCCTTCCCAAAGCCAACGTCAACTCGATGGCCTTAAGAGTCAAGAAAGCTGACAAGGGCATTTACAGCCGCAAAAGGATCTGTACATCAGCCCCCTTCCCATCTCCAAGAGGCAGCACAAGTACATATATGGATAAGTACATATATGTACTTATACATAAAATATATGAGAATAATACAGGTATATTATATATAAAACATACATCCAAAAACACAAAAAGCAGAGCCATATGAAAGTGTAATAACACACGGAAAACAATAATACTTAAATTTGGCAAGGTCTACTTTCCTGATTCTGAATCCTACCTCTACTTCTTAGGGTCTGTGATGCTACTATGGTGACTCTCCACCCAAGTGCTGGCTACAAAGTGAATAAAACTTGTCTTGAATGTGCATGTACTTTCATCTAACACATGTTATGTTGGATGACAGCATAATTCACATAAAATCATTAGTGAATGCAAAGTCACACTAATTATTATTTTTAAATCGACAAGCACCATTCTCATTATTATAATAAGTGAGTCTATGTAAAATTTCAGCCTCAAAAGAGAAATGTGGCCAGCACAATCCCAGGAGGCTTGAGGCAGGAAAGAGGCATGGTGAGGTCAGCCTCAGCTACTCATCCAGATTTCTTCTCAAAACAAAAGTGTAAAACAACAACGAAAGTTTTCTATGCACTCTAGCATTAGTCATTTGAACTGTGTCATCATTTATATGAGTGACAAGAAAAAACCCTGAATCCATTTCTTTCTGTACAGCTGTAATTAAAAAAAAAAAAAAGTCATTCTTGGGTGGCTTCACAATTAGAGAAACAGTTCATAGTTGGTGCTCAGTCATGTATTGTAAAAAGCTGAAGTCAAACCATATTTAAGAACTGGTACTTTCTCTGTGGGTATGATAGTTACAAATAAATAAATTAAATTAAATTAAAAAATTCCTAAATCGTAGGGAAAACGAGAAAATTCCTGCTATGAACCAACCAAATCAGACAACCAAAGAGAACTTCTCAGGTACTGTCTTTTTTTTTTTTTTTTTTTTTTGGCCTATATGTGATAGGAAAGATGCTTGTTTTGATTTGCATTGTACGGTTAACAACCAAAAGTAAACAGGTGTGGAAGTTCAGTTTGGCCGCTTTTTAGTTTCAGATCCTGAAACCACTGTGGCTGTACAAGCCCACGGGAAACACGTTAACAATGACTTTGCAAAAACAAACTTTTATGCTGTTTCTTCTTATCACGGCAGGGGAAACAACGTCCTTCTTGCTCTTCAGACCAAGGTTACCGGCAGCTGCCACGCCTCTCCCCCCCCCCGTCTGAGTGGCGGGCTTCTGCGGCTGCGCGACACGTCATCACCGGCGCGCCGCGCAGGGGCGTGGCTCGCCCTAGAGGCGTCCCCGCTCGCCCTCTAATGGCGGCCGGGGTCGGGGCCACGCGCCGTCGCTTGGCTCCGTGACCCGGAGTCTGGCGCTGCCCGCGCGGCGCCAACTCCCTGCCAGGCAGGGGCGGCGACTCCAGGGCCGCCGGCGCGCGCGGCCGACCTCACGTTGCGCGTCTGGTCTTGACGTCGCCTCCCGGGCGCCATGGCTGAGAAGCGAGTGGACGGAGCTGGGGAGCCGGTGGCCTCCAAAGCAGGGGCTGAGGGGACCTCGGAGTCCGGGGACTACGACAGCACCTGCGTGTTCTGCCGCATGGCGGCGGGGAAGGAACCCGACACTGAACTCTTGCACTGCGAGGTGGGCGGCGATAGGCCGGGGTGGGTGGGAGCCCGAGCGCCCGGCCCTGCCCGCTCACCCGCCGCTGCGTGGGGCAGCTGGACTGCTCCGTGACTCCCTTCTCCCTGGCACCCAGAGCGCTGCAGCGACCCCTTGACTGCTCTGCTGGGAGGGATCTGAGCCGTCCGGGTCGGGCACCCTCGCCTCCCTGGGCGCGCATTTGCCACGCCACGGCGCTCTGGCCTCCCTCTTCTCTAGATAGTGAATTTAAATTCGGCACACTTCTACTACCGGTAGAGAGGAGACAGCAGACAACAGATGATGGGCGTGGAAGAAGTTTGGTTGAAAATAGGCTGGGGTGGGATTTCCGGGACTGGATCTGAAGTCGAACTGTCACTTGACAGCTCATGGCTTGTAATAGCCGGCCACACCGCCGAAGATTAATGTCACGTCATCCCCCATCAACCATGAGTTCCAACCCCTCTTCATTACAAGATATGGACAGGTTCAGTCCTGTGCAGATCAAGGTAATCGTAGCCGCTGCTAGTCCTAGAGTGCAACGGCCTTGCCATACCTGGAGAGATCATTGTTCCATAATTCCCCCCCACCTCCTCTAGCTGTAACTTTTTTGTTTTTAATACCCCATCATCCAGAATAAAGAGTTAATCTTCTTAAAGGGAATAATCATCTTGCATTTGAAATTCTCATCACACATATTTGTTGTAAATACTTGAACCGATTTGGCTTATTCAAGTTCTGGTATAGTTACATAATTAAGTACAGAGGAAATTATTTGATTTGGAATAATCAGAGTTACCAGCATTATGAAGAATTTGTTTGGGAAACCTTTCCAACACAAGTCAGAGAAAATTCTTCAGAGATCTCTGTATAGTTTTCCTATTGTATTTTTCAGAACTCATTTAAGCAAAGGGTAAATAAACCACATAGTCATAGCAGAGAGCATACGCATTCCAAAGGCAGTATCTTACTCTTTGTGTATGCAACACAGGTATACATATAATATACATAAATACCATGGTTGGCATTTGTATCTCATAATATTGATAGGAATTATCTTTAAGGGCTCTTAGAAATAGTTGGGCAATTGTGCCACAGCCCTTATATCTACAGAGTGAGTTTGCGGACAGTCAAGGCCAGACAGAGAAAAAAGGAGGAGGCCTCTTAGAAAAAGAAAATGGAAAAAAACAGAAATCTTAGATTAAATTTCACCATGTTTGAGGTCATACTCAGCAAATATTTCAGTGCTAATTTAACTCCTCTTTTGTTCATCAAAATTGTATTGACACCTTAGCATGGTACTAAGACATTCTTTCACATGAACTTCCTTGTTTTAAACATCAAGGTACAATAACTGGAAAGAAATGATTGTAGCTCTTTTAAGCAAAATAATGATAATAATTTTGAGAAGTATTTGTTAGAAAAAATAATGGAAGATCAGGAGAAGCAAGTTCATGAATAGTCTATAAGACTACAAGCAGATCCAGGCATTGGTGGTTCATGCCTTTAGTCCCAGCACTTGGGAGGCAGAGACAGGAAGATCTCTGAATTCCAGACCAGCAAAGCTACACAGAGAAACTCTGTCTCAAAAAACTAAAAAACAAAACAACAACAAAATAAACCCAAACAGAACAGCATCGTAGAACCTTACAGAACCGTACTCAAGATAGCTTTTCCTTCTCCTTGCTTTAAAGAAAAATTAGACTATCATAAAAATAATTTCATAGCTATGTAGAGATCCTTTGCATTCGTGTCCCAGTAGTGTATGGCATAGTTTACCAGTGTTGTCTCAGTTATAGACAATTGGCTTCTTTTTAGTTTTTTTGCTCTGGGAAGTAATAGTAGCCAGAGGTGTTACTCAGTGGCAGAACTTGCCATGCATGTGAAGCCCTGGGTTTTATCACCAAAACTACAAAAGAGGAAAAGAATGAATGTGTGTATACAGAGTCTTGTCAACCTGCAGCTGGTAGATTTGATAGACTCACTAGGCTCAGCATACCCCACCAGGACCCTCCCTTCTCCACCACCTAGCAATGTTATACCTGGCTTTTTGTGTGGTGCTTCCCAGCTTGTAAGGCTTGCACTTTACCCACTGAACCATCTCCCCAGCCCACGGTATGGTGGTTTTTTCCTAACCTGTTCTAAAATACTCCATCGACATCAGTGCTTAGATTGAAATAAAATGCTTCAAAATGTAGTTGTGCTTGTTGAATTAGCTAACTAAGATTAATAGTAGGGGTGTGAGGTTCTCATGACATTTAATTCTAATTCCTGGGATGGAGCATTGATGGATAACAGTGTCCAGGGAATTTTCCTGAGAAAAACTGTTGGTTTAACTTTTATTTTTAGTGAAGAAAGCGTACAGTAGGGATGGGAAAATGTATAGTGAATTTTTTTTTTTTCTTTTTGGTATTTCAAGACAGGGTTGTTATGAGTAGTTTTTCCTGCCTGTCGGTCCCACAGCCGCTACAGCCCCAAATAACATTAACATACATAGACGCTGTATTAGATATTAAGCTGTTGGCCAGTTACTAGTTTCTTATCAGCTAGCTCTATCTTAAATATTAACCCATTTCTATTAATCTAAGTATTTCCATGTGGTCTCACCTTATCAGAGAGAGGGCCCTGACCTCTGTTCTCTCAAGTCTCTCCATGTTGACTCCTTACTACTTCCGGAATCCTCCTTGTCTCCTAGTCCCACCTTTCTTGCTTTCCTATTGGCCAACAGTGCTTTATTCATTAACCAATACGAGAAACATTTACAGAATTACACCTCCCATTACAGGGTTTCTCTGTGTGGCTCTGGATGTCCTAGAACTCTCTGTGTAGATCAGGCCTATCTGGAACTCAAAGAGATCCACCTGCCTCTGCCTCCCAAGTGCTGGGATTTAAAGTGTGCACCACCACTGGCTAAAACTGACATTTCTGGTAAGGAAGTTTTAGTGAATTTTACTTATAGTTGTCCCCTGAAGCTGACTTAATGTGATAAATAACTCATGACAGAAACTGAAGCTTGTGTTGTGAATTTAAGTAAGGCACAGTCATAAAATTGCTCACAGGCAGGAACTGTAACATAGATACCATTTTCCTTTTGTGGATTTGTAGTGCTTAAGTCACAGCACAGCAGAATAATGTTGGGATTTTTAAAATTTTACTAACAAAACATGCCATCCTCTTCAGGATGAAGACCTAATTTGCTTCAGAGATATCAAACCAGCTGCACTTCATCATTATCTTGTGGTGCCAAAGAAGCATATTAGAAATTGCAAGGAACTAAACGGAGATCAAATAGAAATGGGTAAGATGATGACAGTGTTCTCTGTGGTTATACCACATTGCATTGTCTTTAAATATGATGGCAGTGGCGATGAGGAAAGGTATAGTAAAATTATCACGAAGAAAGTTAAGAATGTTTGAAGCATTCCCCCCCCCCCTTTTTTTTTTTCTTTTTTTCTCTTTTGGTTTTCAAGACAAGGTTTCTCTGTGTAGCTCTGGCTTTACTGGAACTCATTCTATAGACCAGGATGGCATAGAACTCAAAAACAGCCACCTGTCTCTGCCTCCCAAGTACTGAGATTAAAAGCATGTGATACATTCTATTAAAAAATTAGAAATAAAACATAACAGTATAATCTCCAACTTTAATTATAAACTTGTGGCAATGTTTTTTTTTCTTCTTTTATGTAGTAACCTGCCACAAAATATTTGAAGCAAATTTCAGATACGATGACATTTAATTTTTAAAGAGGAAATGGAATGATGCTTGATAGTATTTCATTTTTGAGATGGGCTCTCAGTATGTGGCTCTAGCTGTCATAGAACCCACAGCACAGAGGTGGCGCTTGCCTCTGCTTTAAGAGTTCTAGTATTAAAGGCACACATGTGTGCCACCATGCCTGGCTTTGCTTTATGCTTTTTTAAATGATAGTTTTCTTGACTTTGAAATTGGAAAATGCTACAAAAAATTCTAAACATGTTCTGATGATTGATATATATATATATATATATATATATATATATATATATATATATACACAATACACACACACGCACACACATATTTATGCTTACATTACCTGACAGTTCCAGATGCAGATAACTTAGTGCCAGAGTTTAGTTATGAGGGTTTAGTTTTGAACTTTCAGCTTCTGAAAAGGAGATTTGAATTTTATTTCTTCCAGAATTATTCTGTATTTCCTCCTCAGTGCCTTCTTTGACATTTTCTGATATCTTTTCCTAAAACTTTTTCCAGTTTATTTCAAGTCTTTTTAGTAGCCTTTCTAACTAACCATGGCCTGGGATTAGTACTGTTTGGTAGCCAACAACATAGTTAAATTAGGCCAGAAAACTTTTAGATAGAAAAATCTTGGTGTTGTTCATGAGCATGTAGATGACTAAATTACCAGTTTGAAACTTGTTTGTAAATACTACAAAATTCTTTAGTTATCTGAAGTTCTTTCCATGTGCTTTAGAACATACATGATTTATAACCACAAGGTAGCATTTATGTTTATAGACATAATATATAACCTATATTTACCTGATTGTGTATTTGTTACTAAAATTTCCATTTCACTCCTTGACTGTTTCTTAGACATCATATAACCTCTTCGGTAACCTTATGGAGAATAGAGGCTGCAGCAATTATTAGTAATAATTAGTAATTATTAGCTACTTATTATAGCTGGTACATATCAAATGTCATAAATATTGAAGCTAATAGGATTTGGAATATCATTATATTGCTTGCTCTCTTGCTTTTCTTTGGATATTTTCATATCAAAATCTTAAATAGTTGTTGAACTTAACTGTTATGTAATCTATAAAGTGACAGAATTAATATGTATGTGAAGGTTGTGATAACAATGGCAAGTCCGGCTATTGCTATTGACACTTGTAGAATTGCAATTACTTGCCTGGTTTTCAGAGCACATGTTCACTGAGGTAAATCATATTCAAAGCATCCAAACTCCATAGCTCTTATGTGTTTCAAATCTTGTAAAATATACTATGATCAATTAAATTAGATATTTCGCAGAGCAGTAAATATTTTAAAGTTAAACAGACTTCTAAATAGTTATTACATGTATCCAAGACAAATATTTTTTTTAATTTATTTTTATTTCATGTGTATTGGTGTTCTGCTCACATGTATGTCTGTGTAAGGGTGTCAGATCCTCTGGAGCTGAAGTTATAGACAGAGGTGAGCTGCCATATAGGTTCTGGGAATTTAACCTGGGTCCTCTGGAAGAGAAGCCAGTGCTCTTAACCTCTGAGCCATTTCTCCTGCCCTCAAAGAAGAACTTCTAAATAAAATAACATTTTTCTAAATAATTCAAACTAAAGACTGTTGAGTTTATAAATAAATAAAAACACAACATTAAAATTTGTGGAATATAGCTGAAGTACTTAAAGGAAAAATTGTGGCTTTGAATACTAATATTAGAAAATAAGTCTTAAGGAGCTTAAGAGTGGTTAAGAGTGTTTCTTGCTCTTGCAGAAGGGTCCTTTTGTCCCTAGCACCCATGCTGGGTTGCTCACATTTGTCTGTAACTCCAGCTCCGGGGATCTGACACACTTCCAGCCTCCGTGGGTTCCTTTCACACATGCAGCACATACACACAGGTATGTATACGTAGAGAAGAAATACCTTTTAAAATCAGTAACTTAAATGTCTACCAAAGAAAAGGTGCTGAAGAGATGGCTCAGAGGTTAAGAACACTCTCTGTGGGCCAGGTGGTGGTGGCTCACACCTTCAATCCCAGCACTTGGGAGACAGAGGCAGGTGGATCTCTGTGAGTTTGAGACCAGCCTGGTCTAAAAGAGCTAGTTCCAGGACAGGCTTCAAAGCCACAGGGAAACCCTGTCTCAAAAAACCAAACCAACCAACCAAAAAAAAAAAAAAAAATCCAAAAACCTTTCACTTTCTGCTTTTCTACTGAACCTGGGTTTTGTCCCTCGCACCTACAGGCAGCTCACAACTGTCTATGACTCTAGTTCCCAGGGGTCCGACACCTGTTCACATGGTGCACAGCATACACTTGGACACACACATACACATAAAGTAAAAGTGATTAATTTTTAAAGAAGATACCAGAAAAAGACAAGCAAAGACAAAATAAATGCCCCAAAGAAGTGTACTCCTGTATCCCATAGTATAACATCCTTTCTTTGCTGTCCCGCAGTTGAGAGCATGGTAGCTGTTGGCAAAGCTGTCCTTGAGAGGAATCATTTCACCGATTTTACAGATGTGAGGTATGTATGCTTTATGTAGAAACCGTTGTTAATTGATTTTTATGAGATTTGTTTTTCATGGGAAGGGAAGTAGCAGTGCCAGAGTCTGAGCCTCTGACACAGTGTCCTTGAAGTGAGAATATGCTTCACTGATAGTGTTTATGACTGTTGTTTATGTCTCAATAGCTTCCAGAAACTAACTTGTGCTTGGACAGACAAGTGTACATAAACACTAAGTAGGTAAAGTAGTTAAAAGTCCTCCCTTTTTTGTTGTTCTATATTTTAATTCTTTAACATTGGGTAAAGTGAATTTACTTATGCAAACTTACATGGTTTAAAAATACATTGATGGGCTGGGCAGTGGTGGTACATGCCTTTAATCCCAGTATTCAGGAGTCATAGGCTGGCGAATCTCTGAGTTCAAGTCCAGCCTTGTTTACAAAGTAAGTTCTAGGTCAGACATGGCAACATAAAGAAACCATCTCAAAAAACCAAAGGGGATAGGGGGGAACCAAACCAAAACCATTGGCGATGAGGAGGTTCTGTGAATAATAGTGCTTGCAGTACAGACCTAAGGAGCCCAGTTAGAGTCCCTAGAATTCAGGCAAAAACCCGGGCATGACTGTAGCTTACCTGTAACCCCAGCAGGGTTGGGAGCAGAGACAGGGTTTCTGGCTCCAGGCTCAGAAAAGGTCCTGCCTCATGATAGTTGGTAACCAGGACACTCAATGTCATTTTCTGGACATGCATGAGTGTGTATACCAGCACATTTCTAGCATAAAATTAACTTGCATTCATTGCTTCCTGAACTGAACTCTAGCATTTAACAAAGTTTGAGCAAAAACCCATAACATTGGATTTTTTTTTAAAAGAATTTAAATGATTTTCTATTTAAAAGAATAATCTTATAAATGTTTTATAAAGCAAGAAATTATTAACATAATCTAAATTGTTTTAGTATTTAACAACCTTCTATGATGGCAAAAGGGTTTTTTTTTTTTTTTTTTGTAATGATCAGACTGATCTTACTACAGAAATGTTGGTTACTGGCTGAGTATTTTATTAGAGGTAAAAGCCTGCCATCTACTGGCTGTGTCTTAAAATAAAGGCCCGATATCTGAATGTCTAGTATATTTGCTTTACAGGAGCATATCTTTTCAGAAGTAAGCTTATTATGATAAGTACTGAAGTGACTAGCAATAATGCAACTCACACTCTACAGAGGTTGTATGACGCTTTCTTTGATAAATATGTGTGTTGTCTATAAACTTCAGCATGGGGGACTTGGGGAATGTTCAACAGCATAAAGAAAACAACAAAACATCTATGAATGGTAATTTGCTAACCTTTGTATATTTTTAATCTTACATGATTTATGAGTATTTTCAAACTACTTGAGAAGTAACTGTCAATAATGTCTTCTGTTTCAGAATGGGTTTCCATATGCCACCATTCTGTTCCATTTCTCATCTGCACCTTCATGTCATAGCACCAGTCAAACAGTTTGGCTTCTTATCAAAGTTGATTTACAGACCAGATTCTTACTGGTTTGTCACAGTAAGTAATACCATCATACAGTAGCATACCAACGTATTTAAAGTGTTTGCTCCTTTTCGATTTTGTCTTGTTAGGTTTTTTTCTTGTTAGGGTCTATTTGGCTTGAACACTGATTTTAACAAACTGACATATCCAAAAAATGTATACACTTACTTATTTTGCACTGATGCATGTTGAACCAGGGTTATCTTATACTAGTAGGCAACATTTTCTTCTGTTGAGATATCTCAACCCTTTCCTCATCTTAATTTTGGGACAGAGTCTTCTGCGTGTCATCCAGATGGACCTTGAAATTGGGATCCCCCTACCACAGTCTTATAAGGTTTTAGGATTGTAGGCTCATGATATAATTCCCAGTTCCAAGTAATATTTTTAATTTGAGGGAATTTTCCGGGCAATCTAACTCTATAAGATGAGAAGATGGACATACATAGAAAAGCAGAACTTTCAGAATTCAGATCTGAATATAAATTCCAGCTTTTATTACTTGAAAGATCATACACAGATATTTTTAAAAAGCTCATGTTCTTTTTGCTCTGCAGAACCTGGGGACTGAATGCAGTTCAGTATTTTCATATTTCTTCTGCTGGTACATACACACAGTCTACCTCAAATCACATTCCTACCATTGTCATCAAAGAACCAACACTGATACACCATCACTATCCAAAGCCCTTTTTAGGTTCCACTCTTACAGGTGTACTTTCTGTAGGTTTTGACAAATGTCTGACATGTCCATCATTGTAGGCCCACACAGAATGGTTTCACTTCCCTAAAAGCCCTCTATGATTTGTGTCCTAGTTAGAGTTTTACTGCTGTGAAGAATCACCCTGACCACGGAAGCTCTTATAAAGGAAAGCATGTAATTGGGTGGCTTGCAATTCAGAGGTGTAGCCCAGTGTAGTCATGGTGGGAAGTACAGAGGTGTGCGGGCAGACTGGTGCAGGAGGGGTATCTGAGAGTACTGCATCTGGAATCTTCGGGCAGCAGGAAGACAGTACGCCACTAGGCCTGGCTGGAGCCTCTGAAACCTCAAGTGACACACTACATCCAACAAGCCATACCTCTGATAATGTCCCTCCCTATGAGTGTAAGGTGCATTTTCATTTTCATTTAGACCCCCACATTTTGCCTCTCAGTTTTATTCTTCTTTCTGTTTCTTAGTTACCACTTAAAATTTTTAACATTTCCAAAATTTTTCCTCTTCAAAATTTACTTTTTTCTTTTCCGTCCTTATTTTTTCTTTTCTTTTATTTTGAGACAGGGTCACTATGTTCTGGGTACCCTGGAATTTAGACCAGACTGGGTTTTTTTCTCATAGAGATCTGTGTGCTTCAGCCTCCCAAGTGTTGGGATATCAGTGTGTGTGTCACTACACTGGGCCTTCAGAATTTTTTATATTTGGAATTTTACAGGATATAACCTTTCAAATTGACTTATTTCATTTAGTAATATGTGCTTGTTATATATCTCATTAAAGAAATCTTTAATGTTGCATTTATTTTTCTTGTAGGAACTTCTTAATATTTAATGTAGTTTGGAATCTGCCTGTTTTTATAGTGTCTTTTCTATGTATTAAAAACTATTGTATTTTCTTTTTGTAAAGTATTTTTAAGGATCAAAATATGTAGTTCCTTGCTCTTTGGTGTCACAAGGACATAGTTATCTACTATAAAGGCAGAGGTAACTTGAAAGAACCATATGTTCATGTTTGTTCTTTTTTTCTTATTGTTATTACAGGTTGATTATTGGCTTGAAAAGTTAAGAAAATAAAAATGTGAGCCATGGAAAAGTTCCTTAACCTGACTCAGGATGAGCTATTACTTTGCTCTCTTTGAAGTCTGATTGCAGTCTGAAGGTTTGCTGAGTATACACAACACTACCACTGAGTAGCCTTACATTTTTTTCTGAATGTCTATTTTCTGAGATCTGTAATATAGTTATTGTGAGTACTTTGTCCCTTACTTCTTTGTTTTGATGCTTACTTACATAAGGTTTTATGCCTAAGATACTATAACTAACAGTTCACTTAATACAAATTCTGCTAATCAGGGTGCATTCTATATTTTTTTAAAGTTCAGGTTTTATTTTAGACATAATAAGAGATTAATAATAGTACTAATAAAATAGAGCAGTTATAACAAGATAAAATTAAAGTCCTGCAAGTGTTCATGGTTGTGCTTTGTTGCCATATTAAGTTGAATACAACTACTATGGATGCTGCGACAGTTAATCAGATAATAGTTGGTTACTATATGTGGGTAATGCATAAAGCAGTGTAGATGCTCATATCCCAAGTAGGATAGAGTGGGTTGATGTGAAATTTCTTTTTTCTGTGCAGAATTGCATGTAATTTAAGATATATTAATTGTTTATTGCTTTTACTTTGTCATTTAATGTTTTGGGTTAGCCACAGACAACTGACACTATAAAAGTCAGGTCACAGGTGATGCTTTAGATAAGAGGCAACTACTTTAATGTAATTTTAAATAACCATAGTAACCAACAACATGGTTATTGTAACAAAATTTACATGTAATTTTACCTGTCAGGAGATTAGAACACAAATTAGTAATGTATGAAAACTAATAGAGACAGTTGTCATGTGGTGTGCTTTTGTATCAAAGGAAAAGAAAGTAACCAGTGGTTAGACTCAGTCTTATGAAGAAAGATTTGATTTGAACGTAGAAAGAGACACAGATGAGGAGTTTATCTTGATACATAGTGCTAATAATATTGGTATATCAGTTAGTGAAGTGTGTTTATTTGGGAGTTGTCCTTTAGCAGTATCTACAGACACAGTAGTGACTAAAGGGAGATGAGGTGTTGAAAGACGATTCTACCTTGTCTAGTAGTGTCTAATAGTGTTATGTATGCAGCGAGAAAGGAACATGAAGACTAATGCATTATAGAAATCAGCTGAGATTTCTAGTTTATTGTTTTAGCATGATATTAAGTAATTTTAAGTAACACTATTACAGTGCTTGTTTAAAATATCTATAGTCAAGCATTCTCTACTTTAATTAAAATTAATTAATTCAGCAAATATTTTTTAATATTTAATAAATGCCAAACACTATTGGGGTCCAGAACTAAAGAAATGATAGGGGTCAGTTGCCAATGCTATGGGGTGAAGCAAAAATACTTTCCTCGATTTTAGTGTGGGAAGTGTGACAATGTCCAGGGAAGAGGCTGTGAAAGGGAGACCACTATGAGAATAGGTAGACAGCACCTAAATTCAAGACTCAGTGTTAGGCTGTCAAACAGTGGTGGGAAGCTGAGAACCTTGAATTCTGTTTCCACTGTATATTTTTACAAATGTTTGAATTTCAGCTTATTCACTAGAGGTGCAGAAAGGGATTTGCATGTAGAGGCTATAGGCTCTCAAAATTAGATTTATTGTTTTTACAGCACTGCCTTGTATAATATCTTTCTGATCATTTACATAGCCAACCATCACAGTTTTTTCTATACCAGTGAAAACAGGACAAACTTCAGGAAAGGTACAACCTTTGAATGTTTTACTCTGAACTTGCAGTGATGTATTTGACCTCATGGTGGTAGTGCATGAAAGGTGGTCAAGGAACTTTTCAAATGCCTTAAGTAGCAGGTTGATTGTGTTTGTATAAGTTTATATCCTCTCACAGGGCAGAGTGGGTAAAGGTGCTTATTGCCTGACAGTAAAACCCTGAGGACATGTGTTTGATCTCAATTTATGTAAACGTGGAAAAGAAAATAAAAAAAAGGAGCCTACAGAATTGTCCTCTGAGCTGCACACATGACCTCTGTGGATCTCCCTGCCTATTATAAATGCACACATACACTGAGATAACAAAATTAATAAATAAAATCCTTGAAAGAACATTTTAAATGTATACTTTCTTGTAAAGATGAATAATCACATTACAGTTAAAAAAATCCACTTAGCCTTTATGGTAGCATTTGAATACTGGTTACCCATCTACAATATCAGTTCAAAACAAAGCTAATTAATAATGTGCCTTAGACACTGATCTGTTGCTATGAAGAGACAGCATGGCCTGGGCAACTCTTTTAAGAGAAAGCATTTAGTTGGGGACTTGCATACAGTTTCATAGGTTTAGCCTATTGTCAGCATACAGGCAGCTCTGGAGTAGTAGCTGGGAGCTGCTTCCTGATATGTATGCAGAGAGACACTGGACCTGCCATGGGCTACACACTTCCTCCAACAGAGCCACGCCTACTCCATCAAGGCCTCCCTAATCCTTCTCAAACAGTTCCATTCCCTGGTGACTAAGCATGCAAATATATGAGCCTATGGGTTCCGTTCTTATGCAAACCTCCACATAACTTGTCTTTAAAATGTTTAAAATGGTATTTATAATATTATTTATGCATGTGATACTAATGTATAATTATAAAATTATGGTAAAGTAACTAGAAGAAAATAAAAATAAAAACGAGGAGGTAATATGTCAAATTTATTTCTCTACACTCTCTAAATATTACTCAAATCAAGAATTCAACTCAAAGGTGTTTAATAAATTGGACTGCATAAAAATTTCACCATTGGAGATGGAGACACACCTTTTCTCTCATAAAAAGAATCACAGATCAAGAATTTTCTTATTTATTGTTTTATTGCTATGAAGAGACACAATGATCAAAGGAACTCTTTTAAAGGTAAACATTTAACTGGGAGCTTGCTTACAGTTTTAAAGGGTTACTTCATGGTCAGCCAGCCGGGAAGCAGACTGATGTGGTGCTGGAGCAGTAGCTGATCCACAGGCAGTGGGCGGAGAGAGTGACAGAGTGACACTGAGGGCTCTACACCCTGACCCACGGGCAGTGGGCGGAGAGAGTGACACGAGGCTAACCTGGACTTTTGAAACCTCAAAGCCCACCCCTAGCCACACACCTCCAACAAGGCCACACCTCCTAATTCTTCTTAAACAGTAATTCTAACTAGAAAACAAACATTCAAGCATGAGCCTATGGGGACATTGTCATTCAAACCACCG